CAAAGAGCAGCGGCTCTACCCTAAGCTCCCTCCAGATGTCTGAGCTCCTTACCCTATTGCTAAGGCTGACCAGTAAATCAAAAGCTTCGCCTTTCAGGTCAGCTCCCTTTTCACCATGTCAGTCCGGCACAGCGCCCGCATCATCTCACGCTCCATTCTACCCTCACTCGTGAACATAAATGCTGAAGTGAAGCACTTTAAGAGTGCACCAAATGGTGCTGGGTAAAACAGAGCTGCTTCACCTACACCAGCCATTAAAGGGAAAGATTTGATGTTGGAGGAAGTGCTTGAAAACCTAAGGTATGGTATGATGCAGGTAGGAGTGTGTATGCGTGAAGATAAGAAAAGATGCTGCTGGAGCATAATGCAAACACCCACACACACAAACTAAAGAGTGCGTCAGTTTTTTAGTGAGCAGAGAGAAATGTATGTGATCCCCTTTCTTAGTTTTCTTAGTTTTTGCTTTTATCTTTACTGATAATGCAGAACAATAAAGTACAGGAGATAAATAATCCATGATAAACAAACAACTGCTAATTGGTGCGATTTTTCTAAAACCTTGGCATAGATGTATGGTGCGTGTTTGTGTGTGTGTGTGTGTGTGTGTGTGTGTGTGTGTGTTAACACTCATTATCTCCACCAGCGCTTTAGCACTGATCACAATTCTTTTTAATTAACCCACACCGTGTATTTTTATCTTCCAATTCGATGCTGCTGTGCTGCCCGCCCATCAAACAGACAAACAACGGAAAATATCAAACAGTCATGTGTGGGAGGGAACGGCAGCGATCAAACCGGAGATACAGCCAGTCACGGAAGGAAACAACTGGGTGACGAGGTGCCTCTTTGAAACCTACACTGTGTCACCTCTAATGAGTGGATTTGTGTTGCGTAAATCATCTTAGTCATACAGCTGTCAGATTACAGAGGCGCAGGTAGCACCGAGAATTAGGCACGGTGTGGATGCTTATGCTGGCACTGTGACTCTCCTGCTGTTATTCATTAAATGTTTACATACTGATGTTGGCTCTGAAATAATAATCTTACATTTTATGAGATATCTGTTTATGAGTATTAACCTGGAACCCTTACAGTAATCTTTTATGTTTGTCAGTAAAACCAATGTTTGTCTGTGTTGCACTGCTTGTGTCTTCTTTAAGCTATTAAACCATTTCTACCACAGCTAGTTCAGCAGTTACTAATCGTGGAAATTAAAAAACTCATCTTGTTAAAATGAAATAAAATGTGCTAAAAAGTAGTGGATAGAGGGTGCAGTTTATGACTGCAACTCCAGCTGCCTTTAGGATTATGTTGTTTAATGTTAGTGTTGACAAGGCATCATCAAGTAGCATGAGGCTGTGTGCATGTTTACAAAACTGCGCTATTAATTATTTTCATTTTTAAACATCAACTGAGGAATTACATCATGAAACACAGTAAATACAACATAAGCCCACAAGATGAACAGATTTGTCCATAATTATTGATTAAAAATAAATAAATCTGTTGACTTGATTACTTTTAAAGGTCCAGTGTGTAGGATTTTGGGGGATATATTGGCATCAATGGTATATAATACTCAGTTTTTCCTTACCTTAAGCCCTGTTTCCACCAAACACTTTCAGTATGGTACCTCTGGAACCAAAAGTACCCCTTCAGACATGGTACCTAGACCCTAGGTCCACTAAGTGTTTCCGCAGCAAACAGTCCTCTTAAATGTGGGCGGGGTTGTTGTCACTCACTGTATTTCCTCTTTTATCAGTCTGCACCTCGTTTATTGTCCACAGAACGAGGCTGCACGCCGACATTTTCAGAACAAAATAAAACAGGTTGCGATGAGAGTCTCTCTCCATGGGATATTTAAAAATAGTGGGTTTGTGCATTTAGTCCTTCTAAGGCAAGGTCAAGGGTTTAGTGTTGTTGGAGCCCACAGGAACGACACCCTGCGACGCTGTGAGAGGCAGCAAAGCATCCTTTCATTTCATAGTTGTACTGTACTTTACTAATAAAACTCTCCACGGTATGAACAGTGGTTACATGAGCCTCAAAACCAGACACAACTCAGCCCTGAGCAGAGTGACCATCCTCTATTGACCAATCAGACTGCAGTGTTCACAGCTCCACCTTTTAGTACCAGATCTGTGTGCTAGGTACCCCAACAGAGGGAGGACCAAACATGGGGACAGTACGGAACGGTTCCATCGGTACCATCCACAACTTTTCACAGTGGAAACGGACAAAAAGCGCACCATCTGAACTGCTTGGTGGAAACAGGGCTTTAGATAGGGCCATTCTCATTTTTTGCTTTTTTGCATTGGCCACAATAGTTGTCTTGCACGCTTGGCATCTGGAAGAATCCTCAGTTGGTTGTAAACTGGATGCTCAACGCTAGATATTCCTAACTCCTACACACAGCTTTGAGGAGTCAGTCAAAGGTACAAATAAATATGCATCAATGCTAAATCAAATTATGTGGGGCCGGATCTGATTTCAACTGCTGTATATACAAAGATCTTATCAGACACAAACTTGCGGTGTCAGTTTCCCCAAAATTTGCTTTGTTTTTCTCTGTGAGAAGTTTGTGTGTGTTCTGTGGCTTGGCCAGACATCCTATTCAAGCAACACTGCAATAGCTTCAGATGCAAAAGACACACCGTGCACTGAAATAGCATCTTCCTCGTCGGATTGCTTTGACAGACTGTCTAGCCAGAAACAAACTTTATAAAAGAATTCCTAAGAATGAAAATACTTCCTCAAAGAATTGTGGCAATAACAATTCAACAATGTAACAATGACTCACAACCTGGGCGGTTTGATTTTCAATGAGACTAGAAAGGCAGACGGACCACCCAGAAATCGACAGCATGGAGGCCGAGACATTCAGGTAAGAGCCTTGGCAAGCTGAATGGAACACAACACAGAAAAATAAGCTGAGAGCAATGTTTTTGTCAGCTTGAATGTCAATCAACCCTCTTTTACATTTTGACTCTTATTATTTCCTCAATTACATGTGCATTCGCTTCACTCTTCTTCCCATCCCTTACTGTTTCACACCCTGTCTTTGCTCTTTTCTTATTCTATAACATGAAGCAGGGATAGATTGAACACCTCCTACACAGATTGGAGCAGGGACTGAGGTATGGATGGGCAGAGAGTGACAGACAAACCGGGAGAAATCCTCTTCACGTCGCGCCCAGCGTGTCCGACACCTCCCAAGGTCATTTCTGTTCTCCCAGCAGAGAGCCTCTGTCACTTTTAATAACTTTTAAAGGGAACATTTTTTCTCTCCTCTGACAGGCTGAGGAGTAGAGGGACCCGTCGCAGAGTGAGACAATCACAAAGTGGCGACAGAGCGAGGAGGTGTGAAGTGAGGAGACTAGCCTGCAATGACTAACAGTGTATGCTGTTACTTTATGAAAAGTATCGCTGCATGGAACAGAAGTATGAAGCCTGATGTCAGTCACCGGTGCGGTTTCAAGTTAGCTTGGGCAGCGAGCAGTCAGTGTGGCTGTAATCACCACTCTGTTATCTGTCAGTGCTGCTGTGCTTACGACTGCTGTAACACTACGACAGGGTATGAAACATTATGACACAATGCAGCATGTGTGTGTTTTCTGCAGATAGACAGAGGTAAAACACAGGGACCAGCCATGCTGAAGAATTAAATCTACTCATGCTACCTTAAGGTGCTGGATTCATGTCTTAACCAAATGGCATATGTTACATGTCACTGTCACTCTGTGGGATTGATTATTAGGGTACAAGGCTGCCAAGAGCGCATGAAGACTATTCTTGTATGCAGATAATAACACCTGCCAGAAATAGCACGGCATACAGTATCCATCCAGCCATTATCTGTAACCGCTTATCCTATTCAGGGTCACGGGGGGGCGGCTGACATTGGGTGAACGGGTACACCCTGGGCAGGTTGCCAGACTATCCCGGGTTTGACACATAGAGACAGACAACCATTCCTGTCCACATTCATACCTACAGTAGACTTAGAATTAGTCTGAGGCTGAATTTTAAACTGGAAACTATCTCTGTACATGTATGTTTCAGCACTGTTTGAGAAGTAATCTCCACCCATACCAGCACGCCTTTAAGAGAACAGAAAATACTAAGGAGATGGTGGAAAGTAATAGATTTCTTTGTTTGGACCAATGACATGGTGTAACTAGTATAAGTATGAGGCAGCCAAAGTAGTGGAAAATAGATTGGGAGTTGTAGCAAAGCAAATATGGCGACATATCAGAGCAGGAGCAAGCATTATCCACCACCGGAGAAAACCATGGCGATGGGAAAGGAGTGCCCACACAAGAAGCAAAAAATCTCAAAAGGCATGTTGACCTAGCTATAATGTTTTGGCTTGACACATTGTCACTGATAAAACCCAATCAAGAAGCGAACATGGGTGACTCCTTTGCCACCCGTCCAAACTAAAACGCAACCTTGGAGATTTCAGCAGATTTCAGAAGTAAGCAGCATTTTCAAACGTCTGTGTTTCAGATGTTACAAAGCGCTGGTGTAGTGTGGACGCTAGGCGCAAATGTAGCAATAGTTATACATTTTAAAACAAAAACATATTAGCGTGGGTGTAGCCTGACTCACAGGATGTGGATTGCGTGTAAACCTGCCATTGGCCGCCTATTTCAGACGGCATTTTCCTCTGCCTCTACTATCTACGTTAATGTTTTCAAAACTCTGTCACTACGTGGAACTAGCGTCACACAGCCAGATTTATCCACACTTCATTTTAGTTCTGTACGTGAAACAGCAACAACCTCCAAGCTAGCAACCTGCTTATGCTTCCGATGTCTTCAAAGAAGTTGTCTTATTCCCGTCTTATAATAGTGAAAAGGAGTCTTCTAAGGAACGGATCTAAATGCAGACAGTGTTGCTAATCGATGGCCATTACATTGTGCAATCAACATTCACTTCATAACAATAGGTTACAGCACAAAAACTTGTCTACTGCCAGTTTAAGTCCACCTCCGTACCTGTTCCTGTCTGTCAAGCCATCGGTCCACCATAGGATGGTTGGCGCTCAGAGAAGATCGAGTCATTTCTCTCTGGAACTGAGTGGTCCAGCCACTCGCATCACGAGGAAGACTCCGATAGGCATGGCCTCCTCTACCCTGCAGAGGAACAGGAAGAGGAGGAGAGATTAACATCGCTGTGTGACTATCACGTCTATTCTCTGTTTTCCTGGACTTTAAACAGACACTTTTGTGGTCTGGTACTATCTATAGCAGCTGGATGACAGACACTTTGTGGTGGATGTCGGTTAGCGTATCTTGGACTTGTGCCAAGCATCAATACTGCGTTGCTCATTCATGTCTCACTCCATTCAACCCTCACCCATAACCCTTCCCCACAGCTAAACCTGAGCTGCTACTAAGAGGCCTATTACAAAGACAGCCACAGCCGAACTCTTCCATTACACAAAAAGCACCTTCCAAAATGTGACTGCCAAGGTAATGTCAAACACCAGCAGACTTCAGCAGCGTTATTAAAACAACCTCGAGCAGAGAAACATACACAGGAACACTAGATTACATTCCAGACATGCTAGCCTTGGCATTGAAATGTCTGTGATTGAAGGTCATGGTGGCTGAGGCTATTTGAATAAAAATGAAAGCAAATTAATATTAAAAACACAGCGGAGACAGTGATTCACCAGGATGCACAAACAGAATGAGAATGATTAAAGGTCTGATGAGTTACGAAACGGCAGCTAAAGAGAGAGACAGACAGAAACAGAAGTTTGGATTTCTTTAATGAGACATCACACAACAAAAGAACACAGACAAAAGTTAAAAAAGGAAAACTCCCAAGTGGCATGTTGCAGAATGAGAGGGGAGGATGACAGGCAGCCGAGTGGATGAACAAAGGCAAATGAAAACAAGTCATGTTCAGCGAGTGATAAAGTCGCAGCAAACAATGCAAATAAAAAATTTAAAAAAAGGAGTGAGAGAGAGCAGTGGAGAGATCCCTATCCCCTGCATGCTATAATAAGCCATGTGTGTTTTAGTGCAGTTGAATGTGGCGTGACGGGGCCTGAGGAAGCACTGCAGACAGGACTGTAAAACTCAGCCGGACACGTGGGCTCTACTGAGACGGCCCCTGATAGCCATCGTGGCCTCGCCCCCTGACATGCAACACGGCGCGACAAAGGACCCCTCTCCACAAACTTTTACGACACGTCAGATCGTAAAACGCGGACAAACCCAGATACCAGAGAGGTAGCAGTAAATCATCAGACTCATATCCACCACCTAATCCCTTTATTTGACTGTGCTAAGCGTGGAGAACACGAGGTATTGTAAAGTCATTGGGAGACGTGATGAGTTTACAGCGCTAGCTGATGACTGAGGACTCCCGTTGGCTCATATTAGGGAGATTTAGCAGGACCGGGTCTTACTCGGCCGTAACTGGACTCACAGGGAATTGAACAGAACATGGCTGACTGTAGTGTGTAAAGGAAATTACCCCAGACAATGGGGAGACACTACAGTGTATGGCTTGCATCCATACGCTCTTCTGGCAACACTAATCACTGATGTATGGCTCCCTTTGAGAACAACGTCTGCGCCAAGACATAAATATATCAAAGTCACTGCTGACTAATACATTCAACATCTGTTTTCAATTGCATAAAAATAGATTTAATCTTGGACTGATGGTGAATATGTGACAGTTGGATGTATGAAAAAGAGATACAGAGGATTACGAGGACTAAGACTCCCTCTTTATTGAAAACATCTAATGGCCCAGTCAAAACTGGACAAGCTGAATAAAAGCGACAGCCTCTCAGTGCTAGCTCATTACTTTTAAAACCAGCGGCTGGTGACAGACAGATTACGTAAATGATCCTATTCAGATAACTGATCACCTGCTACAGATGGGAGTCAAGCTTTAAATGGGATACTTGAACATTGTATTCAGTCAAGCGTTATTCCCAAAATCTCTCGCAAAAGCAAGATTTATTTAAGCTACAATTTGAATAGCATTTCTGTTCCCCCATTCAATTAGATATCAGTCAAAACATAATTAAGGATGTTTAGCATTATGCAAAGTCTCCATTAAAGCGGCTGTCTGAAGTAATCCCTTTAAAAGAAGAGCCACTTTTTACGTGTAATCTGTAATGTCACAGTTATTGTTGTCATATGATGTGGTCATGAGCAATCAGTTGTATATAATCTAAAGTTAAATCCTGTTATGTAAATTCTGCAACCTAAACCCTGCATACCCCACAATGCAAAGCAACTACGGAGAGCAGCAGAGGGGCCAAATTGCAGAACAAACCCAGAAAGAGCATCTATTGACACTCCTGTTCGGCTGCTTTTATATTTTTTTCATTCCCTTAAAGCACAGCAGCTCAAACAGACAAACATTTGAACATATTTGCTCATGGTAAGACAGGCCAGAGAAGAAGCCATCCTGACCGTTGCATTGTCGAGGCTCTGACAACTAAAGTGTCTTTAAATAGGATTATCACACAATGCTTCCAGACGTACTAATCACGTGGAGGTTTGCCATGTCACGTTCCAAGCACTCAATCATCTCCCTTTTTTTAACCTTCCCATTTCATTGGGAACATATCTCTTCTCTCAGCACGACGTACAGGTCTGCCAGTACCACGTGGCAGCCATTTTGAGAAGTTAATTGGCTTCCCTTCCCTTTCAGAAGCCGCAGGGAGGGTGTACCTGCGCCACGCTTTTATTAGGATTTATAATCAAAGGCTTAAAAAGCCTCAGAAAGGTGAATCTGGAACAAAGGGAAAGTGTTTAACAATCTCTGCTCGTCTTGTTGGGAGACAAGGAGGAGTGTTATCAGAGGGAACTAGTTTCAGTTAAAGACTATCTATGCCACTGCTGGATATCTGTAAGCAGGGCAGCAGAGGTTTCATATCTAACAGTTATTTCTTTGATTTGAGGTGCAGAAGAGAGATGGAATGAAAATGAGGGAAGAAAACAGTGAGGAAGTTAAAAACAGAGACTGCTGGAGGTTGGAAGATTTCAGAGTGCACATCTCAGACATTATAATTGATGCAGCTCCAGTACATCTGCAGCACTGGGGAAAATAACTTCCGGGCAAGAGCCTATTTGAATCAGTATATAGGACCTACTACTTGAAAGTGGTGTATACAGAATTAATGTCACGTCTATCTATTTAAAGTCCTGTTGAGTTTTAACATCTTTTAAGATTCACATAAACCTTTATAGCAGCAGTCAAGGTTACCACACATTTTAAGATACTGATGCATCACTGGACTGGATGTATTTGTTACCTTTCGTTCCAGGCTGCCGGTGCCGGTGTTTGGATTTGGTTTGTGTTTGTGCTTTTGGAAGCCGGCTGTTGTGGACCAGCGAGCTGGGTTCTTTCTGGATGGTTCATCTGGACCAACAGGGACCTCGCCCGGAGGAAGGCCGGCCAGGGAGGGATCACTGCTGCGACGGACATGGAGAGGCATGTCTGCAGAGGAGCAAGTGGAGTACAAGGAGGGTGGAAAGAAAAGCATACGAAGGGAAAAGATAGGGGGGTGGAATGAGAAGAAATAGGGGACACAGTGAGTTAAAGCTACAACATTAAACCACTTATTCACATATTGAGAAAATCATAGTGTTCCAACTGTGGCACATTTCCGTAACTGTAAGACCCCTACAGCACCTCCTCTACTACACTACGCATCCGCTGAGACGTGGGAAGTGGTGATTATAAATACTTTTGTTTCCATAGAAGGTCTGTTGGGTCCAAATGGAAAATGTACAACTCAAACTGTGAGAGGTTTGGCTTGGCCTGAGTCCTGCCATGGTGACATAAACATACTTTAGATATACTTTTAGCTGGAAAATTACCCAGACAGCTATAAAAAAAAATGTAAATATGAGAGAAAATTACGTATGTGAAAAATCAGCCAACCCCCTGCTCAGCCTAGCAACCCTTAAAATAACAATGACAATCGTAATTGCGGCGAAATTGCTCATATATCATGAGCTGACTCTGGAGATAAGGGTCAGTCTTACACACTGCACTACAGTCTGAAGCTGGCTCTGGAAAGTTTCCCGGGACTGAGACCAAAATTACCCCAGCCATCAAACATACACAAGAAACTGCACAGGAAACACTGGTCCGTGTTGGTGCTGCCACATTGACCGATCTGCGACTAAAACTTAGTATAAAGTTCTCATATTTGATCAGAGCTGCCAAAACAAGTAGAGGGAATGAAGTTGCCCCACACTTCACACTCCAGCTAAAACATTCAGTGAGAAATCCTGCTGATGTCTGTTACACCGAAAGAATATCCGTGAGCTGTGGTATGAATCATCTGGATTTTCCCAAAAGGCCATATGGATTTGTTTATGACGTTCTAGCAGCCTGCGCGTTACACCCATAATTATGCAAATAGTTGGTAACCACCTGTCATCCATCGGCGGATCATGGCAGCGAGCATATGCCAGTGCTAAGCTTCCATCTGATACACCAGAGACATGTCTTAGTGGTGGAAGCGACGCATTTTAATCACGGCTTACGCTGTGCCGCAACTCGTGCGTATTTAATGCTGTGACAAGACTGGGGAGATTTGAATGCTACTGTAAGTGTTTCTTGGCGACCGCCTGCAGGGGAGCCGAGAATGGAGACAGTATAATTATGTGAGTGAATCCCAAAAATAAAGGTGAGATCAACACGTATTTGTCAGTGACTTTATGCTCTCGACAGAGAAATCACACCCTTGCTTTCAATGTGTTGTCAAACATTCATCTTTTCAAGAAGCATCTCTCTTGACCTCAGTGACTCACAGCCGTTCTCCCATGTCCTTCACCTGCACTTGCTCTAATGTAATGAAACATCCATTGTGCCTCTCCTCCTCCTTACTATTTATGTCGCTCCCACTATCTAATCCTGTTCTACCTGATAATTGTGTGGTCTCAGGATTATGGTCGGGGCTCTGTGGTACTGAACTGTCATTTTCCTACGAACACGTTGTTTGCGAGGTTGTTGGCTGATGTAAGAATTGAGGCTTATTCTACTGTTTCGCTTATTGAGAGACACTCTGGTTCCTTGCTCGCCTGTAGTCTGTGGTTACTGGGATTTTCAAGGTTTATTTTTTCTTTGCTTGACCTATGACTATCATTGAGAGCTATACACATAAACCTGACTACCTGCTTTCAGTGCTAAATTGCTTTCGTACACAATGGAGGTGACTGTTGAAGATTGTTTTGTATATTTGTGTGGCCTCAAGCACAGCAAACAGGTACCTTGGAAATCACGTCAATATAACATGATTCAGCACCTCACAATTTACATCCAGTGCTAACGCTCAGTGGATATGCAGGAACTGCAGTGCCTGAAGTGGGATGAAAAGCAGGTGTGTGGAGGTCCATGTGCAGCACATTTGACTTTCATGCAGCGGACCAGAGTTTGTGTCCAGTTAAAGATGTAAAATTGACATTTTAACCATGATCTTAATCTGACCTTAACCACTTGCCTAACCCTAAGCGTAATGATATTCGTATCCATACTGTAATTGACCTTTTGCTAAGCCCAGCCCCATTGTGGTCGTCCGACAAGCTGCACTCCCTGAAGAAATATTATCATATTTTTGGAAAAATGAAAGAGTGATTCCAGCGAGAAGCAGACAGAAGGGTCTACAGTCTGTGTTTGAAGGATATATCCAGGATGTCAAACTGACTCAGCAGCAACAACAGGTTAAAAAGACAAAGATAGTTAGAAGCTAAAGCCGAATTATAGGCTACAGATCACAGTGTAAAAGTGAACCACCACATCACTGCTGATCGCCACACAAGACAATGAATATAAAGGGAAACTTTGCTAATATTGAACCAGCTGTGTGGCATCGCAGTGTGTGCAGATGAACGGTGTTTGGCTTCACCCTCGTGCTGGCACCTGAACCTCCGCCGCCGGACAGGTAGGGCTCTCCGGGGGACGTTCATCTGCACACACAGCTGGTTGAATATGAGGAAAGTCTCCCTGCTTCCCTTCACTGGTTCCTGTACAGCAGGGTCGGTCTTTGTTTCACTGTTATAATCATTAAAAAGCAAAAGCAGCATGTGTATACATTCAGTAGGCTATATCTTCAGGAGCTAGCTAGTTAACCCTACACTTTTCAGGGTCTGATTTTGGTTTTGGAACAGGGAAGAAACGTATATCTTTTTCCAACCTCTCCAGGTAACGAGTATCATTAATACACGACGTGCCCCAGGCACAACATTTAGCTCCAAATCCACAAAACCAGCCTGAAAATGAAGGAAATCTGAAACAATGGAGCACAGCTGTGGTGTTGTCGGACCCTGGTCTGAGCCGGCCTGATGCTACATTATGATTGGCCAGTCTGCGTTCTGGGGCGGGACTTAGCAAAGGGTCAATTGCAGACAGCGAGATCAAGAAAAACTGTCACTGAACATATAGGGCACTTGCTTAAACAGCTAATGCTGTTGTTCTTCTTAGCAGGACAGTCTCTGGGATAGGGAACACCCCTCAGCAATCCACAGTCAGGACTTGTTTTATGACTTTCACTCAATTTTACAGTAGTTTAATGGTGTTTAAACCACATTTGACATGTTGTGTAAATGCAAAATATTGCTGGTCATTAAATTTAAGCTGCATGTTATAAATGAGAAAGAAAAAAAACTTCTTCTTGTAGCTAACTTCACTGCTGGGTTTGACAACGTTTCAGTCTCACTTCCAAAACTCCCAGTACATTTCAGTCAAAAAGATCCTTTGTCACAGTGTGTCCCGCAGAGCAGCTCCCTCCTTCCATACGAGCAGGGGGATTTCATATGCAAATGACTGTATGATGACATCTGGAAACTTCTGGGAACTTTCTCTGCAACCAAAAAGTGGAGTTGGCGAAACTACTTTTTAACTTGAGTTAATAAAACTCTATTTCTCATGAGGGAATCATTGCTGCAAGTCAAGTTCTCATGCAGTAACAGGTAGCTTGTAAAACCACATTTTCAGAGCAGCTTTCCCAACACCCTGTTAAAAGTTTGATCTCCCTCCTAACCAAACCACTCTGCTGACATGGGCCATGCCAACAAAACTCACCAGCAGCTTTTAATATATTTTGTATTCTTTGTCACAAATGTGTTTCATTTATTTTGGCCGTTGTCTGTAGGCTTCCTCAAAGGAGGTTGGGAATTGAGTAAAGAAAACCGCTGCTAGCAGCCAGACGGCCAGTCACTGTGCGTTTACTCTTAAATTAGGTTGAAGATTCAATAATGGCATTTAATAGACTTTGCCCCCTCTCGGTAACGGCTGGTTCACGTCCAGTTCAGGGCTCTAATGACGTTCACCTCAGACAGCGGGGGTAATTAACGTCCAGTATTATCCTACATGACAGGCTTAGAGATGACACACACACACACACACACAAATACAGACAGACAGGGAGTGAGAGTGAGAGTGAGATCCACAGAGATGGGGGAAACTGAGAGGAAAAAAAACAGAATTAAATGACACAAAGTAAAGGATAAAAACCACATGATGGGAGATTTATGAATCTAAAGTGTCATATTATATCTTCATACTGTATTCTCTACCTCAGATTGAGGCTTTTTAATGTAAGACTTTTAAAATAAAACTTTGTTTTTTTGTGTATCTGTGTGTGGAAACATCGTTACACAACACACTTGATGTGGATTAAAAGCCTTGGTGTATTTCCCAGAATACCTCAAGGCTGAGCTCTTACTGGACATTTATCTTGGTCTTTTGAAACCATGACAACACAGATCTTGCTTTATGCAACGAGATTGTTTCCAGATGCTAACAGAATAAAATGTCCATTGTTGGGGACTAATCGTTTATTTGCACAATTGTACCAAACACTCACACTAAATAACTGAATTGAATTAAAATGCTACAGATAAGGAAGGCAGCTGAACTTGAGAGTTTCTATAAGAGATGCAGTGTTACATCACGAGTTGAGACATGATATGGAGTGGAGGAGGATATCATTTAATTTTAAATTTATAAGAAACTAGATTAGGCAAATCTCTTTCCCAATTTCATCAGATCATCTCATTGTTCATTCTTTCCCTTCCAGATTACAAAACTAACACAAAAGATTTAGATACGCATTTATAAAGGATTTACTCTGTGCGACCTTCTCTGCACTCCACATCTATGCTTACACATCAGCTATTAATGTCTGGCTATTTTACGACGCCACTGGCATCCAAAACACTGATGCTTTAGCGAGGTCTTGTATTTAATAAAATGCTGATCCATCACGGGTACAAATCCTTACAGAATAACGTATGATAAATAGGAGAGCTGTTAAGGAGTGTGTGCTTGTTTGTGTGTACACTGTTTAGAAGGTCACGATATGAAGATTCTCTCCCCTCCCCGTTCTCCCTGACCAATTTTCCTCTACTTAATTTGTGATGGGATTATCCCGGCAGTCCGAAGGGTTTGGTCGGTCCCACGTTTAATAACCAGCCACTTCAGACCGA